TCAGGGATGAATGGGGCTGATGGAACTCAGGAACACCCACCAGCTCCCCCGCCTTATTTCAGACTCTGTGCCAGGCGCCATGTTTCATTCCATCTTCCCACTCTCCTGCCAGAGAGCAAACATGGTCTCCCATTTCGCAGATGGAGCGCCTGGCTGGAGCAGTTAGTGAAGCCAGGACCTGACGTGGGGCTTCCCACCTCCAGTCCCCAGTCCCGTGTCACCTTCACCGTCATCATCTCATCACCGTCATCACCACCACCAGCGTCTGCACATTCCATGCATTCCACCTGCAAAGCCCTGTGGAGCCCCCAGCCCGCGTTTCTATCCCTGGTGGTTATCACCCTTGACTCAATGGGGGTCTGGGGACGTAGGTACTAGTGCCATCGTGTCCACTTTGCAGATGAGGAAACTGAGGTCCAAAGAGGACACGCTAGGACCTGACAGAGCTGAGACTGAGGGCCAGGTCTTGCCACCTGAACACAGGGGCTTAGCCAGCATGTTCTTCTCCTACAGCAGACAAGGAGCGGAGTGGAGCAGACAGGCAGGGAGAGCCAAGGGGCTCAGAGGAGGCAGGGTTGCAGCTGGTGGGGCAGTCAGGGAAGATCAGAAACCAGAGCAGCTGGGGTTGGGGCTGGGTGGGGGCTGCGGAGAGACCTGAGGGATCCGTATTGAGCGGGGCATTGCGGGAGGCGAAGGAAGCCCAAAGCCGGAGACTGGGGGCCAGGGTGAGCCAGGGAGCGGGAGCGGGAGCCAGCCAGACCGGAGTGGGAATCCCAGCTTTGCCACCTCTGCTGGGCCACCTCCATCCTCATTCCTACTCCCCGCACCCCCGGCCTGTGATTTTTCAGCTGGGGAGAGAAATAATAACGATGCTTGTTGCTGCAGTTGGTGCTTAATAAATACTTGTTAAGTAAACAGAGGTTTGCAGTGACGCTTCAGGGAGATAGACCAGGCAGGGAGCTGACACTTCCAGAAGGTTCCTTCCCTGAGAGCAGCCTCCGAAAAGAGAAGGGCGATAGGTTCAGCTGGGTCCCAGGGCTGAGCAGTATGACCTTGAGCAAGTCACTTCACCTCCCCTATTGTCCCATCTAGTAACAACGACAAGCATTAAGGCCCTGCAGGCTGGCTAAGTGTCCCCTTCCTCCTGCCTGGCTGGCCCAGACTCAGGAAGTGCTGCCTTTTGGGCTGGGGGCCAGGGTGACATGCCCCTGAGCCACCAGCAATTCTCCGGGGCATGGGGTGGGTACACACGGGGAGATGTGTCCTCACAGTCAGCCGGGGTTGCCGGAGTCCCCCTGGGGCTGCTGTCACTTTATCAGCTTTCCTTTGGCAAAGGGAGTTGTGGGCAAGGAGGGGGCATTCAGTGTTACAAAATCAGAGGAAAACCTAATGACAGGTGTGGGGTCTTTATCTTGCCTGCTCTGGACCCGTGGCAGGCAGGGCGTCCAGCCCTCCCCTGGAAGGAGTAGGCTCGCAATGGTGACAGCGAGTTGACATCCCTGCCGGTCACCTTTACCATCTCCCTGGGCTGGAAGGTCCTTGGCTAGCCACTGCCTCCCTGTGCCACCACCCTGCTCTTGGCCTCAGTTTCTCTAGTCGTCTAGTGAGGTCTGGACTAGGGGCTTCAGATCTGGGACATTGATAGCACCGTAAAATTAAAAGAAAAGAAAAAAGTTTGGTAAATGGCCCAGCACCTCTCTCCTTCACTTTGCCAAGAAAGGACGTTGAGTGAAGCTGGCATCTCCTATCCCTATCCTTTCCCCAAGATGACCATGAAAGGAGTCGCAGGATACACTCAGGATCAAGGGTAGCGACCGGCCGAGGAAGCTGGCCCGGAAGGGGAAGGACTTGTCCAAGGTCACACCACGAGGCAATGAGGGGGGCCCGGCCTCCCGGAGCCTCCACCGTGGGAAATGGGCTGAAACCGAGTTCTCCCTGGTGTGTTCATTTTCTGGCACACTTGTTGGAAGAGAATGAAGACCAGCTCTTTGCCTTCCGGAAAAGTACGGTTTCACTGTAGACACGATCCTGGGGACGCGGTCTTCCCACGAGAACACCTGTATCCAGGGCGATCCCCGGTGGTCAATGCGTCTTGCCCTTCTGGGACCAACTGTGCCCCTTCTCTTGGGCACTTTGCCCTTGGGCCTTCGCCAGGAAGCCCCTTGTGACAAACAAGGGACAAAAAACCTGGCCGTCTCCCAGGGCTTTCACATGAAAGCACGATGCCAAGCTTCGTACTTTTCAGGTTTCGGTCGGGCGCAGTGTGGGTCAGCTCACGCCCTGCCAGGTGAGCCTGTCGTTCCTGCCGCAGGAGTCAGCAGGGACAGGAGCGCTCGCTAACTTGAACGGGTCCCTGCAGAGGCGGCACACAGGCTCCTCTGTGGCGGAGGGCGATGGGTCTGGGGGGCAGCTTTCCCGTTGGCCCCAGAGCGGACATTTCTGAGCACGAGTGGGCATGGCGGAGCAGAGCTGCGGGCCCGGGGCCTGGAATGTCGCAGGGGCTTGATTGAGAACACTGTTGTGACCAGCAGAGGAGATGCAGGGGTGCAGGGCCAGCTGTGCCCCCACTGGGCTGAGATGTGAGGCTTGTGGGGATGGGCAGGGGCTGGGGGTGAGGGCTGAACCTGGAGCCTGGGGCCAGACTGATCCTGCCACTCCGCCCAGGACCCGGGGAAAGTGGATAGTGTTGGTGAGTGAGGCCAGCAGCCTAGAACATGTGGGGACCATCTCCCTTGCCCTCAGCCCTGGGCCCTCCTAGAGAGTGGGAGCCCCATAAAGAGCCTTCTGCTGCAACAAACTCTACCCCCACCCCTCCGGGGAGGAGGCTTCTCTTTCCAGGAGCACCTTTCCCGCCCAGGAGCCCTGGAGCGGGAATGAGGAGCCCCTGATCGGGCTGGTCCCCTCGGCCTCACCCTGGGACCCTGAGCAAATCCATCCCAGGTCTGCACTTCCTGGCCTCAGCTATAAAAGAAGGGTCTCGAAGTAAGCGCTTTCTGGTTCCTTCTTTGGTGCTACTGGAGTCAATCAGGACAGCGGGACAGAGCAGAGAGGGAGATGTTTAGTGAAGGAAGACCTCCTTCTAGAAAACTAGAAGGTGCCCCTGGTCCCCACTTTCTTCAGGGCTCCCACCTGGAGCCCAGGCTGTTAGGCCTCTGGGGGAGGTGGCAGACAGGGTCTGGTGCTCCCAGCCAAAGTTATGGCCTCCTAAGGGCCAGCACTGCCCACCCACATTGTCTGTTAGATCTTCAGACCCGTGGGTCTCACTGGTCCTATTTTCCAGATGAAGAAACTGAGGCTCACAGCCGCCAAGTGACTTGCCCCCATGTCATGCGGTGGATGAAGGACTTCAGCACAGGGCTGCGGGCCCCGGGTAGCAAAGGCGGGGAAGGGAGAAGACCCAGAGGAGGGGGTGATGGCGGGGGAGGCGGGGGGGGGGGGCAGGGCTGACTCTCCCCAGGCCTGGCGGAGGGAGGGAGTTTCTCCTGGGAAGAGGCACAGGCAGGCACCAGGCTGTTGATCTCTAAATTTCAGCGTTGGTGCGGACCCGTTGCTGCGGCAACCGAGTTGTCCTGAGCGGGGAAGTGTATAAACATTGCCACAGATGCACAATTAGATCAGGAAGAAGAATAGAACAGAAAATAGAAACTTCCAGCCTTATATAATTTTGGGCCAAAACGTTACCGGGAGCCCAGGCCCAGGCCCAGCCCTGCCAGTGGCTGGGGCCCCGGGCAGCACCCTCTCTCCCTCTCTCTCCCTGCGCCCCGTGGAGGGGAGGGGTGGAGGGAGGGTCTGCCCTCCGTGGGCCCAGCTGGTGCTCCTGCCACCCCTGAGGGGTAAGGGCCGCCTCCACCGAAACACAGCTGAGGAGGCTGACAGGCAAAGCCTGCCTCTCGCCAGCTTCCTCCTGCTCTGGAGAGGCGGGAAGGAGGGCAGGAGGGTGGCTGTCTCTAACCGAGCACCCAGTGTCTCCTTGGGTCCTGTGAGGCAGGCTTTTGATCCCCATTTTACAGGTGAGGGGAGATGAGTTTTCTGAGGTGTCTCCACGAGGCAGTGGGTGTGTCTGCCTCTGCCTCCGGACCCGTGAGCCCTTAGGTGTTGACAGCACCTACGGGCTAAGTAAGGTTAGACACACCTGAGCTTGGATTTACTCACTAGCTGTGTGACCTTGGGCCAGTCGCTTCCCCTCTCTGAGCCCTGCTCCCTCACTGGTGACATGGGAATTGCAATGCCTACCTGGGAGCCAAAGCTTGGGGCTCCCCCTTCCTCCGTCTTGACCACGACCATTGCTGTCTTCACCACTTCTGTTCCCAGCAGGTCTGGGGACGGGACGGGAACTGACATGGGGCCACGGGTCCCAGCACAGCCTAGTGGGACTTCCTGTCATGAGGCAGATGTTCTCTGTCAACTCCGTCTGGTCGCGGCAGCCGTTAGCCACAGGTGGCTACTGAGCCCTTGAAATGTGGGGAACTGAAGTTAAAATTGTATTTCATCTTGAGTCAATGTACAAAGCCACAGGTGGCCATTGGCTGCTCTACGGGTCAGCCCGGGAGGATGTCCTGCCCCAGAGAGGGCCAAGCAGGCAGGGGCTGAGCCCAGGAGGTGACCAGGGGCTGGAGCGTTCACAGCTCCCTCTGCTCAGGGTAGTGGGCCCGATGGTGGAGCCAAGAAGAAAGCTCCCCAGACGGGGCAGGGGGGCTGGAAGGGTTGGAGGGAGCAGCACGAGGGCCGTCCCGGTGGCCTCATCTTCTGGTGCTTGGAGGCGCTGGCTCAGGCCCCCACACTCCCTCCCTGTCCTCAGAAGCACCTTACCCGCCACCTTCTGCCCACCTTCTGCCCGCAGGGGCTCCAGAAGGTCCTGGGTCCCAGGCCAGGCTCCTCCCCTTCTGAGCATCTCCAGGTGGGGAGGGAGTGGGGTTCCCTGGGCGCCAGCATCTCACCTGTCGGGCTTCTCCTCTCCCCAGGCCCTGCGTCTTCCCAGGTGATCACGCCGGCTTCAGGACATGCACGGGCACAGCCGCAACGGGCAGGCCCACGTGCCCCGGCGGAAACGCCGCAACCGCTTCGTCAAGAAGAACGGCCAATGCAACGTCTACTTCGCCAACCTGAGCAACAAGTCGCAGCGCTACATGGCGGACATCTTCACCACCTGCGTGGACACGCGCTGGCGCTACATGCTCATGATCTTCTCCGCGGCCTTCCTCGTCTCCTGGCTCTTCTTCGGCCTCCTCTTCTGGTGTATCGCCTTCTTCCACGGCGACCTGGAGGCTGGCCCGGCGGCCGCGGCGGCCACGGCGGCGGCCACGGCCACGGCGGCGGCGGGAGGGGGTGCCCCGGTGGCCCCAACGGCCCCCAAGCCCTGCATCATGCACGTGAACGGCTTCCTGGGCGCCTTCCTGTTCTCGGTGGAGACGCAGACGACCATCGGCTACGGGTTCCGCTGCGTGACGGAGGAGTGCCCGCTGGCGGTCATCGCCGTGGTGGTGCAGTCCATCGTGGGCTGCGTCATCGACTCCTTCATGATTGGCACCATCATGGCCAAGATGGCTCGGCCCAAGAAGCGGGCGCAGACGCTGCTGTTCAGCCACCACGCGGTCATCTCGGTGCGCGACGGCAAGCTCTGCCTCATGTGGCGCGTGGGCAACCTGCGTAAGAGCCACATCGTGGAGGCGCATGTGCGGGCCCAGCTCATCAAGCCCTACATGACCCAGGAGGGCGAGTACCTGCCGCTGGACCAGCGGGACCTCAACGTGGGCTACGACATCGGCCTGGACCGCATCTTCCTGGTGTCGCCCATCATCATCGTCCACGAGATCGACGAGGACAGCCCGCTCTACGGCATGGGCAAGGAGGAGCTGGAGTCGGAGGACTTTGAGATCGTGGTCATCCTCGAGGGCATGGTGGAGGCCACCGCCATGACCACCCAGGCCCGCAGCTCCTACCTGGCCAGCGAGATCCTGTGGGGCCACCGCTTCGAGCCTGTGGTCTTCGAGGAGAAGAGCCACTACAAGGTGGACTACTCGCGCTTCCACAAGACCTACGAGGTGGCCGGCACGCCCTGCTGCTCGGCCCGGGAGCTGCAGGAGAGCAAGATCACCGTGCTGCCCGCCCCGCCGCCCCCGCCCAGTGCCTTCTGCTATGAGAACGAGCTGGCCCTCATGAGCCAGGAGGAAGAGGAGATGGAGGAGGAGGCGGCGGCCGCTGCTGCCGTGGCCGCGGGCCTGGGCCTGGAGGCGGGCTCCAAGGAGGAGGCGGGCATCATCCGAATGCTGGAGTTCGGCAGCCACCTGGATCTGGAGCGCATCCAAGCCACCCTCCCGCTGGACAACATCTCCTACCGCAGGGAGTCCGCCATCTGACCTCCGGGCCCCGCCCTCATCACTTCCCACAAGAGCCTCTGCCGGGGGTGGGATGCCAGGACACCCCCTCCACACTCAGGACAGAGCTGACCCTGGCTCCGCGGGCCTGCGGCAGGGAGCTGGGGGCTTCAGAGACTGGGGAACCCCTTCTCAGTGACTCCAGAGCCCAGGCCTGGGAAGGGCCCAGGATACCCCCTGACCTGTCAGCCTACCCACTGGCCTCTCGGGGACCCCAGACCCACCACATTTTTCCCACTGACACTTCAAGGACGTGCCCCCTTTACTCTCAGAACCTTGGGGAAGGCGGCTGGACTGCTGGGGGGGTGGGCATCGTGGGGTTCTGGGGTGGGCAGGGGTTAGTGTGGGGGGAGGGAGGGTGGGGGACGTTTCTTTTGCATGACTGTGACCTGTTGCTCTCGACTTTCTTTTGTAAATATCTATAAATGGAGAGATGGAGGCACCAAATCTGCCTTCTGCCTTCGTACCTGCAGGACAAGGAGGTGCAGTCCCTCTCTGTGAACCGCCCCCCCTCCCAGGCCCAGCGAGCCTAGCCCCTTCCCCCCGCCCAGCAGGCTGGTCCCCAAAGCCAGCCATCTTGGCCCCTGGATGTTGGGTTTGGGTGCAGAGGCGGGTCCCCGAGGGGCAGGATGAGGACCATCCCTCCCTGTGGTCCCTCCAGATCCCCGGGGTCCAGCCCAGATTGACAATGGAGTTTGTAACTATATATTTTTAATAAAGTATATGGTCCATTAGGGGTAGGCTGGTTGAAGATGAAAAGCACAGAAGAACAGATAGAGAGAGACCGTGATGTGAGTGTGTCTGTGTGTGGTGTGTGTGTCCCTTTCCAAGACACTGAGCCCTGGAGGGGACTTGTCCACCTGCCATTCTCCTTCCTGGGAGCCAACGGGAAAGATCCTGAGCCGGCTGCAGAGAACCTGGGCTTGAACCAGAGCTTTGCTACTTCACCGACGTGCGGCTGCCAGCAAGTCGCCCATCTGTTCTTGGCCTCAGTTTCATCATCTGTAGAATGGGATGAATCACTCCTCCCTCCCAAGAGATGATAGGCAGGAAAGCCCTGTGTGGGTGGGAGCTAAGCCTCCGTAACCGGCGGTGGGGGGGCTTGGGGGGATTTGGGGGGGCTACTTACATCTACACAGGCTGGGCAGGTGAATCTGGCCTCAGGGTGCTGGTGGGAAGGGCTTTCGGGGGCAGCTGGGAAACCTGGTCCTAGTCAGACTTGGTTTCTGTCCAAGTCCCTCTGGGTGGGACTTTGGGTGAGTCCTTCCTTTCTCTGGGCTTTGGTTAATCTATGCTCTGTTAACAAACCACCCCAAAACCTAGACAACACTCCTGTGTTCTTATTCTTTCTCAAGCTTCTGTGGGTGGACTGAGTGCTCCCTTGCCCGGTTTCTTGGGGCTCACACTCCAGCAGCTGGGGAATGTCAGCTCGGCCCAGCTGTAAGGTCCAAGATGGCCTCGCCCACATGTCAGATAGTCCGTCTGTCTAACAGCTGGGGCCTCTCTTCCTCCAAATTCCTTCATGGCATCTCAGACCTAAGTGGGTGAAGGCAGAAGCTACAAGGTCTCTTGAGCCTAGCCTTGAACTTGGACAACGTCATGTCCACTGCGATCTCTTGGCCAAAGAGGTCACCAGGCCAGCCCAGATTCAAAGGGGGTGGGAAATCAGACTCCAGCTTTTGGGAGCACGGTAAAAGTCACGTGGCAAAAGGTGTCTACACGGTGGTGGCATTGAGGCCCTCCGTGGCAGTTTGTCACAGAGACTTTCAGTGCAAGAGCTCCTTTCAGCTCTACGTCTGGTCTACGTGCCAACTGTGCACCCACCAGTCAAGGTGTGAGGGAGCAGCGGGAACCCTCGCTGTTCCCGGGAGTCTTCTAGGTAAGAGGTGCCACTACCTCAGGAAACGCAAGGAAGCAGCAGGCGAGCTCATCCACCTCGAGCTGCTGTGAGCTGCATTGGGAACGATCACGTTTCACCAGCACCAGCAACATGGCTGCCATTTGGGTAAAACATGGTGTATCCGCGGTGCTTTAACGGTGTAACAAGAAACCGAGGCCTCCATCCTGGAGAAGGAAGCCAGCCTCAACAAATAACCTTCCCAATGCCTCCCTTCACGGGACACCCTTCCCAGCCCGTCACTCGCTGAACTCTGACCGAGTCCCAAGAGGCAGGCAGACGAGGACGGTGGTCTCAATCCTTGTGGAGGCCCAGGAACTAAGGGACTGGCGCGAACCAAGGTGAGGACGGACAGAGGCCAGAGGCCTACTTCCCTTTTGCTCACCCTCTCCCAGGCAGGGGCTAAGTGAGGGGCAGGGGCCGCCCCCCTCCGGATTTCTGAGCGCTCCTGTGACCTTTGGGGCCCCTCCTAAGGGCCTGGGGAGACCACTCAGCAAGACAAGAGCCCAGCCCTCTCAGAGGGGCCTTTGGTGTCCCTCTGCCAGGGTCTCACCTCCCACAGGTCTCATCGGAGATGTCCCACTGTTCAGCCCTGCAGGCCCCCCGGGAGGGCCTCCCCAGCCAACTTCATTCCCAGGGATGCTTTGGTGCCCAGGTGACTAGTGGTCACGAAAGAGGATCACGAAAGAGGGTCACGAAAGGCACCCTCGGACTCAGAATCTTTGACCCAGAACATATCTTAGAGGTCAACAAATGGGCTCGACTTGGAGGACACGGGAGAGGCGAGTTTGACAAGGGCTGGAAAAGCAAGGACTTTCCGGGGTTCCAGAGAGAGGAGTGCAGGCGTGGGCCCTGGGGGCGGGCCCGGGGGAGGGGCCACAGGGAGCCTGGGAGGCAGCTCAGAGCTGCAGGAAGGCTTCCAGGCCACGCTGGCTGCTTGCAAACCCTTGCTCGCTCTGCTCTGTGCTGACTCACCTTCCCTCTCCCACCTGTTCCCCTTTCTGAGCCCTCCCACCGGCCTGCCCCCACTGCTCGCTGGCAGGCAGCTCCTCTGATCTCTCACTGCACTGGGGCTCCTGGCAGCGCTGAAATGGGGGGGGAGGTTCACTGTATCTGGGGTGAGGGAAGCTGGGGTATCAGTCACGGGACAGGGCTGGCTGAAGGGGGGCTGCTAGCCCTTCCTCGCCACACCCCATCTTCCCAGGCGCATCTCTCCTCCCCAGCCAGGCCCTCCAGCTTTCCCCCCTTCAGGCACAGCCTGAGGGAGTAGTGGGCGGCAGGGAGGGAAGGAAGGAAGGGATATCAGGTGGGAGAAAGAGAGGAAGAGAAGTGGGGGCAGGGGGGGTTAGAGGGTGTGGTCTAATGAAGCTGAAAACCTCCCCCTCATCTCACTTCAAATCCTACCTTTCAGGCATAATTCCTGTAGGATCGTCTTTGTTTCCTTCCCGCCAGCTTCTGAAAAACCTATTCCTTACAAATGTAACTCAACTGTTTCACCAGGTCAGACTCTAGCCTCATCCTTGCTGGTGCTCAGTTAGATCACCTGCTGTGATGGGAGTGCGGCTTCTTCCCGCGTCTGGCTTTTCTCCCCGAAGTTTTTTACGGGGTCTGACTTTCTTGGTATTGATGGAGTCTACAGATTTTCCATTTTTCATGACTATATACTGTTTATAAAATCCTAGCGCTCAGGGGGTGCCTGGGTGGCTCAGTCAGTTAAGCGTCCCACTCTTGGTTTTTGGCTGAGGTCTTGATCTCTGGGTCCTGGGATCGAGTCCCATGATGGGCTCCACGCTCAGCACAGAGTTGGCTTGTCCCTCTCCCTCTCTGCCCCTCCTCCTGCATGCACACACTCTCTCTCTCAAATAAATAAAACCTTTTTTTTTAGACTTTATTTATTTATTTATTTGACAGACAGAGATCAAAAGCAGGCAGAGAGGCAGGCAGACAGAGAGAAGGGGGAAGCAGGCTTCCCGCTGAGCAGAGAACCCGATGTGGGGCTCGATCCCAGGACCCTGAGATCATGACCTGATCCGAAGGCAGAGGCTCAACCCACTGAGCCACTCAGGCGCCCCCAAAAATAAATAAAATCTTTAAAAAAATCCTAGAGCTCAGCAGGACAAACCCTCACAGGTGGGCCTAGAGGGGAGTAACCTTGAACCTCACTGTCCTGAACCCCAGCCCAGGGCCCTTCCCAATCGTACCCACAGGACTGGCTGCCTAGCCTGCGGCATCCACGGCAATATGAAAATACGAAAATTACCTTTATTCCAAAGTTGGGGAAACGGTGCCATTAAAGGCACCCACAGTATAAAGCTCTTTCCTTTCTCCAGATTACCTTCTCTGCGCCCTGTGCGTCCCACTGTGTCCTGTTGGACTTCACTCACAGAACACAAGTTCAAAGAGAAAGTGAAGAACGTTAAGACAGAGCCTAGAGAGCATTAAACCCAGCTTCGGTCCCTCCTGGGATGCCGGCCCTCTGATGAGCCCTGCTGGCCTCCCCCGTCCGCTGCAGGACCACGATGAACGCCGGCTCTTCTCCACCATACACAATGCCGGGGTCGGCATCTGTGTCCAGTCTGTTTGGTTGTGTTGTCGTACTTGTTCTTCTGGTGGCTGCTTGCTCCGACGAAGGACTAACAGAATTCTGGGCTCTGTTTGCCAGACCGGCTCAGAACGCAACCCCAGCACGGGAGTCTTTCCACAAGGACAAGTAAATCTGAGTTCTAAGGATGGCAAAGGAGAGAAGTTTCAAAACCAAGCTCTCCTTCCACGTCTTCTCAGGGGGCTGCCTACTGAGAGGGTGAGGGCCGACGAGGGGCAGTGCTGGCCAGAGGGGACAGCCATGGCGCTAGGGCAGCGGCCAAGGGCAGAGAGAGCATGCATGTGAGAAGCAAAGGGTCTCAGCATTGAATTTTGCCTCTCCCACCTACAAGCTCTGTGGCTTTGGGCAAGTTGATTCTGTCTCTGAACCTGTGTCCTCATCTGTAAAAAAGAGTCATTCATATCTCTCTCACATGCCATGTGGACTAAATGAGATCTCATATGTGACCAGACACAGCATGATGTGGGGCACATCAGTGGGCCCAAATAATTGTGAGTTCCCTTCCAGAAAGGGTTTTGGTGGGCTTGCCATATGAGACCCAGTTTGAAAACTGAGCTTCCTGGCAGCCATGCAAAAAGGGAAGTCAGATCGCTCAGGGCTCCGTGTAATGAGGAGCAGGAGGCTAGACAAAGAGCATGGGTTCTGATTTGTTGTGTGATCCTGGGTCTTTTCTTTCCTTCTCGGAACCTCATTTTTCCCCATCTTCAAAGTTAGGGGGTTGGACCTCATGACCTCTAGGGTCCTGACATGTCTGACAACCTAGGATTCTATTCCCATGTCCTTCACTAGAAGACAGGAGGTCGTGGGGAGGGACGCAACTGGTACTTGGTAAAACTGGCAGAGTCGATCTTCGTCCCGTCCCGCACGCACTGCCTGCCTCGAGGATCCAACC